ACATTTATTTATAATTAATTTCATGAATATTTATGACCAATAAGAATATTTTTCGAAAATTTTGTACTGGACTTTACAGTAAAGATCCTTTCCGCCCCTTGAGGTGATATTTTAATGCTAGAATTCAGAGCAAAGATTTCTGCTACCCCTTGAGGCAATATTTTTTCATATTGAACTTCACAGTAAAGATCCTTGCCACCTTTTGAGGTAATATTTTTTATGCTGAACTTCTCTATGAAGATCCCTCCAACCCCTTTAAGGAAATATTTTTTATACTTGACTTCACAACAAAGATCAATTCCTCCCCTTGAGGAAATATTTTTTATGTTTGTCTTCTCAGGGAAGATCCTTGTCGTCCCTTAAGGCAATATTTTGTATACATGACATCACGACAAAGATCCTTGGCGAAACTTTAGGAAATATTTTTTATGATGAACTTCACAGCAAATATTCTTACCGCATCTTGAGGCAATCTTTTTTATGCTTGATTTCATGGCAAATATCTTTGTCGCATCTCAGGGCAGTACAAATAAACTAGCCGACGCGTTGCCTAAGGGACTTATAGTATCATCAACTAGGCTAAATATAAATTATCCTGAGGTACTTAGGATTATATGGCTACTTAACCTCTCACCTGAGGGATCTAGAATTTCTTCAGGCAGGATTGAAAATATACCTAAAAGGCGCGACCAAAGTCTAGCCTAAAAGACTTAGTCACAAGTCTTGTCTGAGGGCTTCATAAAAGTCTTTCCGAGGGGTCTAACGTCTCGCCTAAGGGACTTACAGTCTCATCATCCAACCTACATATAACTTCCCATAAGTGACTTAGGTTTCCTTGTCTATTTAAACTCTCGCCTTAGGGACTTTAAGTTTCCTCGAGCAGGATTAAACATAGAGGTCTCGCCCAAAAGGCGCGACCGAAGTTTAGCCTAAGAGACTTTGTCCTAAGTTTTATCTAAGGGCTTGATAAAAGTCTCTTTAAAAGGTTCTAATACCTCGCTTGAGGGACATATAATCTCATCAACCAGCCTATACATAACTTTCCCTGAGGGATTTAGTGTTTCCTCAAACGAGATCGAACACAAGATTGTCACCCAAAAGGCATGAGCAAAGTCTAGCCTAAGTGACTTAATCACAAGTCTTGTCTGAGGTCTTGAGTGTCCCGCCCGAGGGGTTCGGCTCCTTTCCTGAGGGGATTATAGTCTCATCAACCAGACTACATATACTTCGGCTGAGGGATTTAGGTTTCCCTGATTATTTAAAATATCGCCTAAGGGACTTAAAGTTTCCTTGGGCAGGATCGAACATAGAAATCTCGCCTAAAAGGCGCGACCAAAGTATATTCTGAGAGACTTAGTCACGAGTCTTGGTTGAGGGCATGATGGAAGTCTCATCCAATGGGTTTAACGTCTCGTCTGAGGGACTTATAGTCTCATCATCCAGACTATATATACCTCCATCTGAGGAACTTAAGTTTACCTAACTATTTAAACTCTTGTATGAGGGAATTATAGTTTCCTTGTATGGGATCCAACATAGAAATCTCACCCAAAAGACGCGACCAAAGTCTAGCCTGAGAGGTTTATTTACCAGTCTTATTTAAGAGCTTGATATAAGTCTAAATTGAGGGGTGCAATGCCTAGCCGGAGGAACTTATTGTCTCGTCCGCCGGGCTACATATAACTTCTCTTGAGGGACTTAGGTTTCCCTAGCTATTTAAAATCTCATATGGGGGACTTATAGTTTCCTCGGGTGGGATCAAACATATAAATCTCTCTCAAAATGAGCGACTGAAGTCTAATCTAAGAGATTTAGTCACGAGTCTTGTTTGAGAGCTTGATATAAGTCTCAATTAAGGGGTCCATTGCCTCGTCTAAGGGACTTATAGTATCATCAACTAGACTACACATAACTTCTCTTGAGGGACTTAGGTTTCCCTAGCTATTTAAAATCTCGCCTGAGGGACTTAGAGTTTCCTCGGGCCGAATCAAACATAGAAATCTCTCCCAAAAGTCGCGATCGAAGTCTAGCCTAAGAGACTTAGTCACAATTCTTGTTTGAGGGCTTGATAGAAGTCCTGCAGAGTGGTCTAATGCCTCGCCTGAGGAACTTGTTGTCGCATTAGTCAAGCTACATATAATCTCTCTTGAGGGACTTAGTTTTCCCGAGCTATTTAAATTTTTCGCCTCGGGAACTTAGAGTTTCCTCGAACGAGACCAAACAATATAATTTCTCCTAAAAACCCGAAGCATAATAGGCTTAGCACATCACACACATCATCAAGAAACTTAGGGCCTTATGATACTCCCTTGTATCACGATCTAAAAATACTTTATCCTCCATCAAGGACCTTGTGCTAGGGGGACTATGTATTGTTGTCATTTTTGTAAAAGACGATGGTGACTAACATATGCCTCCTTCAGAAAAGGTGATGACCATATGTCACCCTCAGAGAGATACTGCCTTTCCCCTAGTATTTTCCTCTCGCCCAATCATGAGAAACATGGGATAAGACATTTCTTGGGCAGACGTAAGTCAAGGTTAGTAGCTGGCCCAAGTCCCATTGAAAACAAGGATTCAACAGTCTATCATTGCCTGAGTGGGCAATAACCATTCTAAAAAAAAATTCTAGATCCAAAACCTCTATAAATACCTCTTCTCTAACGGGAGAAATGACGAATCCTAATTCATATGGTTATACATAAGCACCAAGCTGAGATACTTAGCCTCTCACCTCACATGAGCAGGTCTTCCAAAACCACCATAAACCACCCTATAGAACTTCTCGCTGCTGTGGGCAAGTCTTAACCGCCACAAATTGTTATATACATACTAAGACCTCTAAATACTCATGACCTTGCAAGAGTAATATGCACACCTATACATTTTGACTAGTACAAAAACCATTATACTCAAACAAAGATCAAATAGTCCTAGAAGCATAAGATAAAATTGCTGATAAAATGATCAAAGAAGAAGAATAAAAATGAAAGCAGAGGAAATCATAAAAACGAAAAGAAACAAAGAAAAAATACAGACCATTTATGATATGATGCAAAACAATGACTCAATGACACAATGACAATGATGACGCTACAGAGGCGCCGACAAGTTCAAGGGTCTTATAGAGTTTACTTGCTTTAACTGAATCCATTGATAAAATGAGTGAAGAAGGCAATACTTTAAGTTACAATAATATTTTTGTATTGGTGAATGTGTTTTCATTTGTGAGAGTGAAGAAGGCAATGCCTTTTTTTGAAAGAAAGCGAGACTAATTTCATACTTTAATGTTTCACTTTTTATTATGATTTTTTTTCAACGTGCTATCATTTTAAAAATTTGAATGTCTTTTCAATTATCGAGGTGAGTGAGTTTTATTGGTTGAGTCCAGATTTATTTGTAACTCAACTATTTTGACTGATTTTTTTTTTTTAAATCACGTTCACCAATCATTCAACCCAACTCATTTTTTAATCATTTTTTATCGAATTCATCAAGCCACACCCCTAATTTATACTTTGATTTATGTATCATTATACTTTTATTTATTTAAGTTTTTTGAATCATAGTCTTATTTGTAAATTTCTTTATAGACATTTTTGTTTCATTTTGAGTTAAACAAGTGAGCAACACACAACTCATTTATTTTGTTGGTCTTTAGATAGTTAAAATATAAGTATTTACAAATATTAAACACGCAACTATCATTATCGACAACAGTTTTACCTAAACTCCTAAACAACTTGTTCATGTCTGTCTCTATTCTCTCTAATCACATTTCTTTTGCTGTTTTTGTGTCTATGTGTCGCACTATCATTTACTACTATACTATTTTCATTCTTTATTCCAACATTTTCTTTTATATATATAAATTAACTTTCTTCACACCATTCAACCACTGTCACACAAAAACACTCTCTGCACCTTCTCTTTGTTCTTCATACCTCTCGTTTTCATAATCTCCAAAAATCAAAACTCATCACTTCTTCTCTTTGTTCTCTCACTCTTGTCTCAATCTTGTTTATCATAGAATCTTCATTATTCGTGTTCCTCACTTTAATGTAACTGCAAGTTCTTCTACTCATTTTCTTTGTTTTGCTTCTTCTTGCTGTTTTTCCTCTTTGAAGACTCTTTGCAGAAAGATGTAATTTTGATTCTAGATTAAAGTACCCTTTTGCTTTTCAATTAATGTCTGAATCCTCAAAAGTGTTGTAAACGAATCCCAACATGGTCTCACTCATGGAATCTCGTTAATCTAGCTGCATCTTTGAATGTTCTGTTCTGTTTAAGAATATTCTTAGAGCTTTTATACTATAGAAAATGCAGGTTGTGATTATGGGTTTTCGTTAATTTTATTGTATTGCCCTCCATAGCTATACATTCAAAAACTTGTATTTGATTAACTTCACTTTGAATTTGAGTGTGTGTGTGAAAGTGTAACATGTAACTTGTTTCTAGGTGTAGATTTTGTCTCTTTTGATAGCATATGGAGGGTTTTTATTGTAATCTAGAACAAGGGTAGTTTTGGATCTTGGTTTTGTTATGGTTGAGTTTTTCTTCTTGTGAAGTGTTTGTTTCACTCTCTTTGAGTTTCTGTTGGATATGTAATCTAAGTACTTTTTCTTCAATTACTCACTAGTTCATTTCTCATTCATTACACAATATATGCAAAAGTTAATAAATTCTTTGAAATGTAAATTCTTTTTTCTGGATTCATTCATTCATTTTCTTCATTATGAGCATGGTGTGCTCAACAGTAAACAAATAAACTACACCCTCTAGCTTTTTTCTGTTTAGGATGCTATGTAGGGTTCTCGTCTCCTGCCCGGAGTTATGTTTTGTTTTCGTGTATGCGGCTTTAATTAAGCACTGTTTTTTACCTTCTAGACTAGACCTCTCTTGAATTGAGTCAGAAAAATCAGCATCTTCCGGTTGCATATTTTTCATTTTCTTTCCTTTTAAGATCAATATTAGTTCCTTGGTAGTATTTAAAGACGTTCATGGAAGAAACATTTGTTCCTTTTCGCGGGATTAAGAATGACTTCAAAGCAAGAATTATGTGCTACAAACAAGATTGGACCAGTGGATTTCGCGCAGGTGCAAGGTTTGTGATATAACTATGAACTTGCTTGTATTTTTAATTTACAAACATTAGAAAGACAGTTTGGAATGGTTTAATTTTGTTGTTGTTCTATATATAGGATCCTTGCACCAACTACATACATATTTTTTGCTTCTGCAATTCCTGTTATTTCTTTTGGGGAGCAACTCGAGAGAAGTACTGGTACACAAATATTTTTCAGGTTCAGTCTCTTGGTTTTAATGTCATATTAGATTGCTAAGAAGTTGTATTATACAGATGGAACTCTCACTGCTGTGCAGACTCTTGCATCAACTGCACTATGTGGTATTGTCCACTCGGTTATTGGAGGGCAACCTCTCCTCATACTAGGTGTAGCCGAGCCAACGGTTCTGATGTATACATTCATGTACAATTTTGCGAAAGATCGCGAGGATTTAGGACACAAATTGTTCTTGCCTTGGACTGGATGGTATCTTTAGAAATCCTTGTCTGGTTTATTTTTATAAGGGAATTACTAATGAGCTGAAGTAACTTTGTCGATACTTTTTTACAAATAATGTTTTAGGGTGTGCGTTTGGACTGCACTGTTGCTGTTCTTGCTGGCTATTCTCGGTGCATGCTCCATAATCAACCGGTTCACGCGCCTTACTGGTGAACTATTTGGTCTGTTGATTGCAATGCTCTTTATGCAGCAGGCTATAAAGGTATTTTTCTTTAGTAATCTGTAACTTCTGTATGCAGTTTCGAAATAGGAACTTTCTGTTAACAGTTACCTAAAATGAAACTAGTATTTGATAAGAAGGTTAATAATCTCCATTTTAAAGGGACTTGTGGAAGAGTTTGGTGTACCAAAGACACAGACAGAAGGTACCAATCAGATTGCACTCCAATCCTCTTGGCTGTTTGGCAATGGCATGTTTGCTTTAGTTTTATCGTTTGGCCTTCTTTTTACCGGTCTAGGAAGCCGCAAGGCTAGATCCTGGCGTTACGGGACAGGTATTTATTATACTTAAGATTATGAGTTTGCGGTAAATTATTTGTTTAATCAACATTCTCATTTTTCTAAACCAATTTGTTATATATTATAGGTTGGCTACGAGGATTTATAGCTGATTACGGTGTCCCCTTAATGATTCTTGTATGGACTGCTGTATCTTATATACCTGTCAACAAGGTCCCAAGGGGAGTCCCGAGGCGACTTTTCAGTCCAAATCCATGGTCTCCTGGTGCATACTCAAATTGGACTGTTGTAAAGGTGACTTTGATTATGTATTATGGATAATTTTTTTTATCAGTAGGAGTCGAACTCGGTACTAAAGTAGGCATGGCTTGTTGCTAATTTTTTGCTGCATTTTGCAGGAAATGTTGAATGTTCCTCTATTGTACATTATCGGAGCATTTATACCAGCGACTATGATTGCCGTGCTTTACTACTTTGATCACAGTGTTGCATCACAACTCGCACAGCAAAAGGAGTTCAATCTAAGAAAACCTTCGTCTTATCACTATGACTTACTACTACTTGGATTCTTGGTATGTTTTGTTTGAAATTCATTACAATGACAGTTATTGGAAAAATATAATTTATTTCAACTTTCTACTAATCTCGTCAATATTTTTGCATTTTAAATTCTTGTCAATTTTACTTTCCAGACCTTATTCTGTGGGCTTATTGGAATCCCTCCTTCCAACGGCGTGATTCCGCAATCTCCAATGCATACCAAGAGCTTAGCTACTCTAAAACATCAGGTAACATATTTCTTATTGACCATCGAATATAGGATCTGTAAACTTACATTCTCAAATATGACTTGTTGTTGTCGCTATTATGGATATTTGTTTTGTTTGGAATAGATTTTACGGCATAAGCTTGTCTCTACTGCACGGACGAGCATGGAGAAAAACATGAACCTGAGTCAGTTTTACGAAAGTATGAAAGAAGCATATGACGTAATGCAGACACCATTGGTTTCCCAAATGCCACCCACCTTGGTAAACGGGATTGTATGATTTCCAATTGATCTTGAATTTGCGATTGTTTTTTTTGCTTTACCCTTTGTTCTGTTCTTCAAGCAGGGGCTTAAAGAGTTGAAGGAGTCTACGGTCGCACTGGCTTCAAGTCATGGATACATTGATGCTCCTGTTGATGAAATCGTCTTTGATGTGAATAAGGATATTGATGACCTTATGCCAGTTGAAGTTAAAGAGCAGCGCCTCAGCAATCTACTACAGGCATCGATGGTTGCGGCTTGTGTTGCTGCTATGCCTCTTTTGAAGAAGATACCAACTTCGGTTCTTTGGGGTTACTTTGCCTTCATGGCAATTGAAAGCTTGCCGGGAAATCAGTTTTGGGAGAGAATATTGTACCTTTTCACTGCTCCAAGTCGAAGATACAAGTAAGTTTATTTTCATAATCAATTTTGTTATCGTAAGCTCGTGACTAATAGCGTTCTATTTTATGAGATTGATGCTTTTCTCTTTTCCTTTCTAGACTGCTGGAGGAACACCATGCCACTTTTGTTGAGACTGTGCCTTTGAAAGCAATTGCTCTGTTTACTCTGTTCCAGACAGCTTACTTGCTTCTCTGCTTTGGCATAACCTGGATACCCATCGCCGGGGTCCTCTTTCCATTGTTAATCATGCTTCTTGTCCCGGTTCGGCAATATTTTCTTCCGCGTTTTTTCAAAGGACCCCATCTTCAAGAGTTGGACGCAGCATCATACGAGGAAGCACCCGCCATTGCTTTCAACATGTCCTTTGATGTAAGAGGTTTTGAATCATTTTAGTTTGATCTTTATCATAACAGTTAATCACATATGTGACTGGTTGTGATTCGTCGACGGTGTATCAAAATTAAACTCTTATAAGATTAACACAAATGTTTTAACCTTATCACATATCTTGTTCACAGTTTAATGTCTATATACCTAGCAGGATCTAAGTAACCATGGAACGTCAGTTAATGTCAGTGGTGGAGAAATTCTTGATGAGATTATCACGAGGAGTCGCGGAGAGATACGTCGCACTCAAAGCTCTAAAGCATCTAGTTCAACTGCAACACCAATAGGAGGAGATATAAGACCTGCTAATAGCCCGCAAATATCACAAATGATTCCTAGCCCTCGAGTAACCGCATTGAGAGGGGAAAGCAGCAGCATAGGATCAAACGGAAAGGAGTTAAAGTTAAAGCAAATTCCTTGAAAAATATCCAAATGATTCAACTTCAAACTAAAATGTACCGTAACATATTACAGTAGTACTAAGTGATTCTCTATAGGTTGTGTTTTTGACAACAACAAACAATTGACATCTTCGTGATGTCTTATCGTTTTAATCGTTACAATATATAAAATGGGCAGGAATATTTTCAAGTTGATGGAATGATGCTATTGATGAATGTTTGTGGATTTCAGTTTTATGTGCTCAGCTGTTTTTTTTTTAAAAATATACATGAAGGGATTATGAGACGTGATACACTTTCTTGGAACCAAAAAAAGATGCAATTTGATGAAGAGAAATTTTGAACCGGTGGTGCTGATCTCCGGTGCAGTGGTGCGAGGTGAATTTACAAGGTTAACACTCTAATGTTCAAGTTAGTTAGAGAGTCAAAATGAATGTAATAAAAAGTGGAGATCAAAGAATATAGATTGACTTTCGTGTAAACTAATTTTATCTATTGGGTTAAGTTGAGTAAATTTGAGCTGAAGTAGGTTTCAACCATTTGGACATTTGGTTGGTCTAAAACAGTTTTTTCCAAAACTTTGTCAGACACTGAGAGAGTCCGGGAAGCCTTTAGTGATTTTGGCCGGCCTCCAAGGATGTTGTTCGATGTGAGTTAGAACTAAATTGTTCGGAGTCAATTGAAAAAGTAGTAGAGAACAAGCGCATTAATTACATTTCCACCATTGAAACGTTTCACTGATTTCTTTCGACAGGTGGGTTGATGTTACAAGTTAGAGCATGTCGCGGCTTATAGTGCACTCTAATTTACTTGTGTTCTCTAGGAGAAATTCATATGTTGATTTTGCACATCTTTTCATTGCTGACTTGGATCGTTCAATTATATCAATCTATAAACAGAGGGAGTTAATCGCTGAAAAACTTTTCACACTCATTGACATTCAAGTTCATTCGTAGTTGCTCTTATTAGAACATGTATTCTCTTTTTGCTTCCCGAAAGTGTTCATCGACGATTCTAGCCTTTTGATCAAAGTCTTTACTTTTATTCGTTTACTTTGCTTCGCCCATCTTCTATAACTAGATACCCCTCTTACCTTAAGCTTTTACCTTCAACATTTTATGTTTTCTAGTCAAGATGAATGATAATACTGTTAACCTAGTGAGTGACTATAAGAGCGACTCTTCTTTTAGCGGAAATGGGGTATCCCCTGATTTTCATCTCTCTCCCATTGCTCACAATCACATGGGCCAAAAAGTTATACTCATATTTGACGATTCTGATTCGAAAAGGGTATCTAAGAACTCCCATGATGAAAAAACTCCTTCATTTTATACATTCAAAACCATTTTATCAGATAACGGTGAAGACATAAATCGTACTAAGGACCTTTTGCCCCTCCCATTTTGAATGAAGAGGAAATACAAGCTAACAAGTAGATGGGAGTATGCATTAATGATTTCGCCTAACTTTACTTGAGAACCAATAATCGTGAACTAAACGATGCGGAAGTGAGGACCCACTTAGAACTTCAGGGTCGCTCAAATGCAGTTTCCTGAATCACACCCAACGAGCATTCTAAAATCGACCATCTGCCCCAGAGAGGCGTGACACTTGTGGAGTCGATTGATGATGTTAGGTATGGCTGGGTGGATGTAGAGGTAATAGGCACCTCGTCTGCTCTGAATACTGAAGCAGCGGTAGAGGCTGCTGGCGTCATGGTGACAACTTTCATAATTGATCGGTTATTCTAGTGGCCCCGGAGAAAAAATATGCAGCTCTTTTGACGATTGTGTTGTTCTGCTTTAGGAGTGTCTGTGCATAAATATGGGGCTACAACTACTTTTTTTCTGACATTGAGGTGGTCGTCCTGAAGAATTTAAATGTTGCCTCTTTCCAACTTCATTTGAGTTCCTGGGGTTATATGAAGGTATTCAAGTTGTGTGTCGAGGAAAAGTCTTTGAATCCTTGACCCAGGATATTTTCAACTAATTATATATGGTTCGCACATCTCAGGACAACTACCACGAACAAGGGCTCATTAGTTTTCACCCGGACGATCCTTGGTTCTACCATTTCACCTAGGACTGGGGCTTCTTGCTGGTGAAGCCCCTTACGTCAGAGGCTCATCTCACCTTCTACTAATCCCATGTTGAATCTTCTCGCTTCTATAAGGGCGCGTTTTTGAATTATTGGTCTTCATCTCATTTACGCTGGGATGTCCATTTCTACCACACCAAGATAGGTTCTCTTCCCCTTGACGAGGTGACAATGAAAGAGGACTTACGCTCTTGGTTCCAATGGCTTGGCTATGAAGAAGGGTTTGACCCTTATGAGTAGCCTTTTTCTGAGATGAAGAAGAGGTGAATTGACATTTACACCATCGTGATTGTAGTCATCCAGAAGGATAGGAGAAATATTTTGCTAAGGATGAAGTCCTCTAGTTTCTTTTACATGTGTTATTGCATTTTGCAAATAACATGCCAAGTTGAAGATGTTCTACGACATTTCTAGTGCCCAAGGTATCAAAACTGGTCCTATTGGCCAGGATGTGATGCCTCCTTCTAACACCACTACTCCTGATCTAACCATTCCTCCTACCTTGGCCACCAAGACCGTTGTCGCTTCCCCCAGGGTTGAGCAGCTTGTCAGCGCTGCGATCATTTTGACTCTAGAGAATACACCCTTGTTCCTAGAGTGGGTTCACCCAAACGGAACCGTCTGACTAGGGAGGCTTCTTTGAGAGAGGTAACTCATTTCCTACGAATGCTTACCTTTCTTCCTTCCCTGCTTGCTCGCACTTTTGTGGAAGTTGTTGTCATTTTATCGATGGAGGACATATCCTTCGTGCAAAAGATCTCTGAGGCGGAAAAGGTGGAACTCCTCTCTGAGATCACCTACAACTGTTCCAAACGTCAGGGGAGATGTCTTGGCAGCTGACAAACCTTCCGAGGAGAAAGACACTTGGAAGGGTAAGTGCGAGAATTACAATTTAAATGTAACTGAAATAAAGAAAAATAAGGAAAACAGAATATAAAAAACTTGAATAAATTAACTCCTAGAAACTAGCTTATTAAGACCTATTCTCTAACTTCAATCGTAAGCCCAACAAATTCCTCCTCTTAAACTGACACATGCTTAACGAGCATCAGTTTACTCCCCAGGTCGTTGAACACCAAGAAAACCTCTAAGTTTCACAAACTCATCCAACTTAATAGGTTTAGTCATTATGTCTGCCACTTAATCATCAATTCCACAAAATGCTAACTTCACGGCTCCTTCACTTGAAAAATTACGTGGGTAATGATATCTAACATCAATGTATTTTGTCCTTCAATGCATAACTAGATTCTTGGATAGTTTAATTTCTGAACTGTTATCACACATTATGTAAATACAATTATAGTCTTTGAAGCTTAACTCTTTCAAAATTCCTTTCAACTAGACGCAATGACATGCGCAGGCAGTGACAAATACATACTCAGCCTCTGTAGATGAGAGAGTCACAATCCCTTGTTTTCTTTAACTCCAACAGATTGCTGCTCCACTTAGTAGAAAGACATAGCCCAAAGTACTTTTTCTATCGTCCACATCCCGTGCATAGCCGTTGTCTATGTGCCCTAGCAGATTCACATCTATGCTTTTCTTGTAAAAGTTCCCAGTTCTAATGTTCCTTTCAAGTACCTCAGTACCCTTTTAGAAATCAACATGTGTTCTTCTTTAGGTTCAGCCATATAACGAGAGATTTATCATATCACAAACATCAAATCTGAATGTGTTACCATTAGATACATTAAGCACCTTACTAGTTGTTTGTACAACATTGCATCGACACCATTGTTTCCTTCCTTTAACAAAACAGTACCTGGAATAATTGGATTCTTGACAGCATTACAACTCTATATATGGAACCTTTGCAAGACTTCCTTAGCATACTACTTTTGGCACAAATGAATTCCGTCTTTACGCTGATAGATTTCAACTTCAAGGAAAAACTTCATTTTTCCCAAATCTGTCATCTCGAACTCCTTCTGCATTAACAACTTGAACTCTATGCACATATGCTCATCATTTCCTGTATATATTAAATCATCAACGTAAAGACTTACCATCAATAGTTTGTTTCTATTTTTCTTCAAGAACAATGTGCGATCATAATTGCTTTTATGAAACCCTTCCTTCTTAAAGTGACTCTCGATTCTGCTAAACCAACCTCTTGGGGCTTGCTTTAATCCATAAAGCGCCTTCTTCAGCCGATACACCTTATCTTCCTCTCCCTTTTTGATAAACCCTTCTGGTTGATCGATGTATACCTCCTTCTTTAGTTCTCCATACAAAAAACCAATTTTAATGTCAAGTTGGTAGACACGCCAACCATGATGAGCTGCTACTGCCAAGAGAATTTTGATGGTATCCCAATGAGCCACCGACGCATACACTTTATTGTAGTCTACTCCTGCTGTTTACGAATACCCTTTGGAAAAGAGTCTAGCTTTGCATTTATCCACCTTGCCTTCTTCATTCAATTTTGTTTTGTATACCCATTTAACACCAATTTATTTTGCTTGATGTAGCAGTGACACAAGCTCCCAAGTCTGGTTTCTCTCTATAGCTTGAACTTCAAGCTTCATGGCCTCCTGTGATTTTTCCTCCTTCAAAACTTCATCAAAACTTACTCGATCATCATGAGAGATATACAAGGCTAAGTTTTGTTCTTGTACCTCTTCTTCAGACAAGCCTTCACTGCTTACATAATTACTCATCCAACTAGGCTTCCTTCTCTCTCTTCTTGTTCATTCTTCAGGTGTTGACTCTCTAGTTTCTGGAAACTCCTTTGCACTGTTGTATTCAATTTCTTTAACATCCTCATCAGTATCTTCTGTTTCGGGTTCTTCTGTTACAACTTTGTCATCTCCCCATGCAAGAACGTTCTGCTTTACGTCTATTGCGCTCAAGTTCCAATCCCATTTACCACCTTCTTCGAATATGACATACCTATTTAAAATTATCCTTTTTGTTACCG